TGCCTCCTGATCAGCCATTGCATCCCTCAGACCTGGAGATCTGGTCTTACTCAAGACCTGGCAAGCGGGGATGCCCAAAACCAGCTGTCAGAAAAATGGACTGGTCCCTAGGATGTCTTGTTGAGCACACATACTCCTCTGACACTTGCAGGCATAAAACCCTGGGCACATCATTCCAGAGTTAAGAAAGCCCCAGGAGGAACTGACCCAGAGACGAAGTCCCACTGGCCTTGTGAACCCATTGAGGACTTGAGATATTTGTTTAAGAAACAGACAAAAACTTGAATGTTACTGACTTCTTTTCCAGTTATTGCTGCAGGATACCCAAGGACTCACTTTTTTTTCTGAAGAAACCCTGAGAAAACCAACATGCTCTAACCAATCTTCTTCCTTTCAAAGTCTAGGAGACGTGAAATAACATCTAGGATCATGCATAGGCTGCCAGTATTTTTTTTTACACAGAAAGGCGTTCAATCTTGATTTTGGTATTTCTTTTTAACTTTTGTTTTTAACTTTGAGATTTTTTTTCTCTGCTTATTTTTATTGTTACTTTGGCCTATCAGTGAAACTGCAGTTGCTATGAGATGTTCCACGCGTGATACATGGTAACTAAAGAGCTCTTTGTGTCTATATGTTGTATGTCTGTATGTCCTTTCCTTGTGTCCTTGTCTTGACCTCCAGTGGTTGACAAATTGGTACACATGGTGCCCAAAGACATTGGGAAAAAAAAAAAAGTCTCCAGTTATGAGAAAAACTAAAGGTTATGGTTTGATTGTCAACATTGTGCTCCTGAACTAAGCCGGTGCCTTCATAGAGATTGAATATTGTTGTTTCTGTTATTTTTCTGATATTTATGGCAAAGCTTCCCAGAAATCTAAATTCAAGTGCAAATTTGGTGGCCTGTCATTTGGCTGATGCAAGGAAATTTTGTGGAACCTCAGTAGAGCTCCTGAGACACTCCACGAAGTTTCTCCCTTTCCTCCTGGGAAGGCACTAGATGAATTTGTTCTATTTGACTCACCTAGTAGAGTAAACCTAGAAGGGAAGCCTTGTCACTTGGGAAAACGGGTGACACCTTGACCTGATATGGATGTAAATTGTCAATGGTGATTGTCACCTTGTCATAGTGTATACTTCAATTGTTTAATATCTACAGAACTTGTTTCTGAAAATATAGGGAGAAAAGGTCTCAACAGATTCCTATTGATGGAACTGTTGAGGGTAAAAACTTTCCTACAAAGGACTGAATAGACTTGGAAACACACCTGATATTTACTAAGTTTTCCTTGACATAATACTGATGATTTTTTTGCATTTTGTTCTAAATCCACAAAGTTTTCTTGTTTTGGTGACCAGGATCTGCAGCAAGGTTGCAATTTTTTTTCTTTTTTTTCCAACAAAGCTAACTTGTGTTTGCATTTTCTCTCCCCTTGATACCAACACAGCATAAATATAGTGGTAGTAATCTTTTACTACTTATCTCAGAGTCTGTTTTTGCATAACTTCCATAGGGATTTTGTCTGTTTAAACAAAAATTGGACGTGAGTTTGATTGGGTGGCTTTGTGTGGAGTTCTTCCAGAAAGTTGAAACAGAGCTGAACCAAGAAGAGGAGAGCCTGTTTGCTTTGTTTGTAGGGTTCCAGAGACCTCCAAAGAAGGTGAGGAAGCTGCCTCCATGGCAGGACTGGACAGCCCGGCCAACGAAAAGTCCCTGGTGCCCTCGAGAAGAGGAAAGCCCAGGTGGAGTCTGATGAGACCAACTTGTTCCAGAAGCCTACATGGACCGGATGTCAACAGTTCGCTCTGAATCCTATATGGAGTATTCCAACGAAGCCAGCTAAAAATTGCTGCTTAGTTATTCTGCCCTGCGATTTTATGCAAAAATAGGCAATATGGTTTAAAAGTAGGCTTAGTTTGCAAACTTTGCTATGCTGTTAAAAAATTTGGGATCAAGGTTGAGAGAATTTGTTTTTACATAAGTTGAACCATTTTAAGATTTTCTTCCCTGTGATTTTTGACATATCTGCTGTCTTGTTCTGGCTAATGCCTCCAGATGTTTTCTTTCGGCTGGGACTGATGAACTGTTTTTCCAGGACTGGAGGACTTTCGCTTTCCACAATGGACACTACCTGGAGGGACTCGTTTTCTTTCAGACTGGAACCCTGGAAAGTTTTCATCTGAGACTGTATCCCAGCATCCATATGTTTGATCTTCATCACCATGGAAATGGTGCAAAAAGTGAAAAGGGGGGAATTGTTAGGGGGAAAGGATGTCCTGAGCTAATCCCATGCAGGCTTTGTGGACGCCACCCCCACTCCAGACTAAAGCCATCAGGACATTGGGAAAGACAAATCCCATCACCACCAAGGGGAGGGTGGCTGGGACCTGAGGGTGGAGTTGGGCAGCCAGGTTGGATATAAAAAACCAAACACGTGGGCCTTGGGGTCTCTCACTCTTGGGTCGCTCGCCTCCTGGCTTCACCGCTCCTGGCTGGCGGCAGCTCTGAGAGCGCCATTTTGGGATTCCTGATCGGCGGATCGGGTAGGACGCATTTAAAACTTTGTCTCCCACTTTTCTCCCAGAGCTGTCCATTTCCTCCTTTCCCCTTCCCTTGTCAATAAACCTTTATGAACCTTCCGCGTGCGCCGCAGGAGAGCATTGGTAAGTCCTTTTAAGCGCGCGGGTGAGGACCCACAGTCAGGCACCCCGTTTTGTATCGGGGTTGCTCTACAACAGCAGGACCAGAAGCTGGAAGGTGAGGAGAGGAAGCAGCGTCCAGCAGCCGCCTCCGCGGAGGGAGGAGCCGGAACCCGCGCCACCGCGCGCGCAGGGGGAGCCACAGGCGGACCCTTCCTCCCTGGACCCTTCCTCTGCCCGCCCGGCCAGCCCTGCTGAGCGGGTGCTGTCCCACTCCGCCGGGCTTGGGTTTGGGCCTTGGGGGCATCTTCGCAGCTCTGACCTCGGAGGGCAGCAGGCGGGCGGCCGTCCCAGCCCCCGCCCCGGCCGCCCGCGTGGCCTGTTGCGCTGCTGCGGGGGGCGCTGGCGGAGCAGAGCTGACCACTCGCCCCGGCGCTCTCCACAGCCGGCCCTGGTCCAACCCTCGCAGGGTGCCCCCCCTCAGGCTCGCCGTCCTGCGGCTGACCCGGCCATTGAGCCCCAGTCAGCTCGGACCCTGCCCCTGCCTGGCCCGGCCACGCTCCAGGAAGCCTCATAACAGGGCAGGGCTGGGCGCCGGGCGGAGCAGATCGGGGGGAGACCACGCCTGCTGCCACGGGCTCCTGCCGCCAGGGTGGCCCCACTCCAGTATCACGCTGACCCCAGTGGGCCGGTCATCAGGGGCCTCGGGCCAAGGCCAGAGGGATCTGGGGCGTCCTGGGCCTGGTTAGGGGCTCCTGGCTCCCATCGGTTCTCGGGCATCCCTAGACATTGGGGTGCCCTTTGGGATCAGACCCTCCTGAAACCAGTGGGCACGGGGGGTGCAGCTCAGGGGTGGGGAGCTGTGGGCTGGGCCCGGACGTGCTCCCGCCACACGGAAGGGGCGAGGCCTCGGCACCCACTGCTGCTGCTGCGCGTCCTCAGCCCGGCCTGTCCCAGGCAGCACCCGGAGCTCGGGAGCCCCGGGGGCCCGGTCCAGGCGCTGCCCTTCCGGCATGAAGCCCTCTCTCTCCGGTCCCCGTGGAGCCCGGGCCCAGGAAGGGGCTCAGGCCGGCCCGCTCGGCGTCACTAGGGCAGTCAGGGCCGGAGGAAACGGCCCTGCTGGGGCCCCGGGGAGGCGGGGACCTCCGGCCACAGTCCAAGGGATGGTGGCAGCTCCGGGTCGGGGCGCCCCAGGGGTTCCGCAGAGACGGGTTGGGCGGAGGGCCCTGGCCTGGAGTGCGGGCCCAGCGGGTGAGGCTGGCGGTCGGCTGGGATTCGAGGGCGGCTCCCGGGTCCCCGGGTGAGGGAGGCGGCGTCGGGAGCACGGAGGCGGAAGTGGACCCAGGGCCGGCCGTGCTCTTGGAGGAGGCCCGGGTGGGGGCGGGGGACATCGTGCAGGGTTGGCCTTGGGGGGTCAGGGGGGCCTTAGCGCCTGGTGCCCCTGCCTCAGGCTGTGGGGAGCCCAGTCCCGGCTCCAAGTGTGCTGGCGCCCGTGGACAGGACGCTCTGGAGGCGCCTGGGGCGTCCTGACTCGGGGGACGGGGCTGAGGGGCTCAGGCCACTCTCCAGCTGGTCACGCTGGGGCGGGTTTGGGCCCCCTGTCCGTGCCCAGCGCCCTCCCCGCGTCCCTGCAGGCGAGCCCCGACTCCGAGCAGACGCCCGGGCCCCCGCGGAGCCTGCTCCCGGCCAGGCCCCGACACACGCCGCCGCCGGCCCACCAAGCCTGTGCCCCTCCGCCCTCCTGGACACGGTCCTGCTGACCCCGGCACACCCACGCCCGCCGCCAGGTCAGCCCCGTGTGCCCGGGGACTGCGATGAGGCGGACACGGGCGAGAGACCGGGTGCGATGGGGGCACGGCCCGAGGCTGGGGCGGAGGCTGCGGGCGCTGGAGGCGGCAGGGCCTAGAGCGGGCGGACAGTCTCCGGGCCCGAGGACGGGACGGGGCACGCAGGCTGGGCCGCTGCCCGGGGAGGTGCCCATCCCAGGCCCACCTGCAGGGCGCCCTCCCCTGCCGGCCCCAAGAGCCAGCTCGGAGGCTGACGGCTCTCAGGCTGGCGGGGGACCCGGGGCCCGCTGGAGTCGGGGAGCGTGAGTGCGGCGGGCTGTGGACGGCATCAAGCGAGCCTGCGCGAGGTCCGGAGGGGTGATGGACAGGAGGACACGAGCCGGACGGCTCCTGTGTGGCACGTGCACGCACCTGGGCTGCAGGGAGGGCTCAGCCTCCAAGGACACGTGGGGGCCCGGGGATACCCACAGCCCGCTCCCCGATCGCGGCCCCTCTCCTCTCTTGGTGGGGTGCAGAGCTCCCCCTCAGCTCCCAGGCCCCATGTTGTTGGAGACCCCCAGGCCTGCAGCGCCGAGACAAGGAAGACATCAAGGTCGTGCTGGAAGCCTGGGCATGGCTAAGACACTGATCCGCTCGGCGGGAGACTGGCCGTGGCCACATCGGGGTGCCCTGTCGGGCCCGCGGGGCTACGCCTGGGCACAGACTAGATTAGACAAAGGAACAGAACGGCCTGAGGGCGCAGGACCTCGCGGTGAGTGTGCGCCGGGCACGGCCTGTGCCGAGAGAGGCCTTCATCGTCTAGTGGCTGACCTGGGAGGGCTGCTTGTATCAGTGAAAACGAGGTGCACCCGCACTGGGGCTCCCCCATCTCGGAGACTCTGTTTCGCGTCAGTCATTTATTTCCTCGGCTCCACTGGATTCTCTCAACCCTGCTCGGCGGAGCTGGACGCGGGCACCGCGTGTCCTGGCGGCTTCAGCCGGCGCCCCAGCGGGCAGCCCTCCGTGTCCTGGGCCCCGTGACCTGCTCCGTGCCCGGGCTCAGCGGACACAGGTGGAAATGGCCACTGCTGAGGACACGACAAACAGCACGAGCAGAAGCAGAAGCAGATAAAGTCTCCGGGAGGCGCAGGTGACGTCGCTGCTGCTGGTCCCCGGATTGGCTTCTGCCTCAAGCCAGCTGCACCTGGGGGGAGGCGGGGCCTGGAGCCGCAGGGGACACACCGGGACCCTGGACCCCACCTGGGCCCTGTGGCAGTGGCAGGAGCAGGCAGCGGGGTGGCCACCGGGGGGTCCTGGGTCTGTCTGCCTCCCCCAGCCCGCTCCAGGGAGGGCCCGGATGGACAGGGCGATGGACGGGACAGGGAGACACAGAGGACAGGACATAGGGTGTCTCTCTTGGGGTGGCCCTTATCTCTAGGGGATTTCCCCAGGAGCCCCCCCGACTCCAGGCTGAGGCCGGGTCTCCCACCTGGTCCAGGGCCGGCACTGCTCCAGGGTCCCATTGGGAGAGAAGGTTCCGGGGGGACAGTCCTCACACAGCGTGTCCAGCTGCTCGGTGCCTGCGGGGTAGGGGCAGGCGGGGCTGGGCGCATGGCTGGCGGCCCCCAGAGCACCCAGGAGGGAGCCCGGCTGTGTCAGGTGTGGCCCTGGGGGCGCTCACCTCTCTGCTTCACGCTCTGGCCGGGCCTGCAGGCCGAGTGGGGCCGGCACTGCTCCAGGGTCCCGTCAGGAGAGAAGGTTCCGGGGGGACAGTCCTCACACAGCGTGTCCTGCTGCTCGGTGCCTGCGGGGCAGGGCCAGGCGGGGCTGGGCGGGGGGCTGGGCAGCCCCTGGGGCTGGGCATGTCCCTTCCTCGGAGGGGGACCATGTGCCAGGTGTGGCCCTGGGGGTGCTCACCTCTCTGCCTCACGCTCTGGCCAGGCCTGCAGGCTGTGTGGGGCCGGCACTGCTCCAGGGTCCCATTGGGAGAGAAGGTTCCGGGGGGACAGTCCTCACACAGCGTGTCCTGCTGCTCGGTGCCTGCGGGGTGGGGGCAGGCGGGGCTGGGCGGGTGTCTGGGCACCCCTGGGGTGCTGCGGTGTCCCTTCCCAGGAGGGGGCCCGACTGTCAGGAGTGGCCCTGGGGGTGCTCACCTCTCTGCCTCACGCTCTGGCCGGGCCTGCAGGCCGTGTGGGGCCGGCACTGCACGCAGCTGTCCCTGTGCTCCTGGACGCAGACGTGGCCGGGGGCGCAGCCACACACGGCGTCCCCCGTGGGGGAGCACCCGCGCCGGGTCTCCATGCCCAGGGCTGCCAGGAGAGAGGGCTGAGCCGCGGCTGCCGTGGGGGGGCGGGTGCCTGTTCCAGGGCCCAGGCCGGGCTCCCGCAGGGTGGGGACGCTGGGGACGGAGCCCACCCGCCCGCCCACAGGGGCCTGTCCACACCCAGCTCTGCCCGGGACCTGCGGAGACCTGAGCCAAGAAGCACCCAGAGCTGGGGAGCCTCCCAGCACGGGCCTGGGGTGACCTGTTGAGGGACATTAGCCGCAGGGGTGAAGGGGCGTTTTGGGGGCAGGGAGGGTCTCCCCTGGGGATGTGGCGGGGGGAGGGGAGGGCTGACCTGCTCCCAGTGGACAGACAGGGGCATCTCCCGTCAGCCCTGGGGGTGGCAGGTAGACCCCAATCCCGGTGCACCCAAGATTGTCCCTCCCACACCTTTCTGAACCCCAAAGCCCTCTCTTCCCATTTCACCTCCTGGGGACCCCCTCCCCGCACCACCTGTCAGGGCAGAATGGGAGGGGCCTCGGGGGGTGTGGGTGGGTCCTGACAGCCAAGCTCCTGGGTGTCCCGGGGCCCTTGCGGGGGGAGCAGAGGGACCCTCTGGGTGTCCCGGGGGACAGACCAGGGTGGACAGAGGCCTCAGCTCCCGGAGGACCCCCGGGGGGACACTGGAGCGCAAGGAGCAGGGGGCGGCAGGGGTGGCTGTGAGGAGGGGCTCACCTGGGCTGCAGTCCCTGCAGGACAGACACTCCTTCAGCCCGTTAAGGTGGGCGGTGTAGGTCCCGGGGGCGCAGGGGACACACACTGTGCCCGTGTACTCCCCGCAGGCCTGCTTCACCCGGTAACCTGCAGCCAGAGGGTCCCCAGATCAGAGGCCTCCCCGAGGGGCCCTGAAGCAGGGTGGCCCCACCCCAGGGACTGAGGGCACCGAGCTGCTCCCAAGCCCCAGGCATGTGGGGCCCAACCAGGAGCCTGTCGGGGGAGTCAGTAGGTTCTGGAGGGACGTGGGCCCGGACACATGGCCTGTGGACAGCAGAGCCCCCTGACCCTGGGTCCCTCTTCTGGGGCTGTCGTGCCCTAGGGCGCCCCCTGCAGGTAGACCCTGGGGGGGTGCTATGGAGGCGGCTCCGGGTCAGGATCTGGGTGATTGTCCTGGTCCCAGCACGATGGCCCGTCCCCACCACCCGCCCTGGCCGCGGCCCTCACTGCACAGGACGGTCACACCCACCTGGGCTGCACTTGGGGCAGCACCGCGGCCCCACCTGGTACTGCTCCTCCGTGCACGGGGCCACGGCTGGGGCGCAGGGAGGGGACCCCAGGAGGCCGAGGATCAGCACCTGGGGAGGGGACGGGGTGAGGTGGGGCTGGGGGCCGTCTCTGTCCCTCCATCTGCGAAATGGGCAGCAGCACCCTAAGGGGCAGTGACCTGGCAGGGCAACCCCTGAGAGGTCTCCTGTGCCCTCCCCCTTCCGTGCCCACTGGGTGTCTGTCCTCACGGAGTCCTGACCGGGAGCCCTGAGCCCCTCCGGGCAGGAGCTGCCCCTCCCCTGGCTGGTGCTGCCCGGCCTGGCGCCCGCAGGGCCAGAGCAGGAGGCGGGACAGGCCCAGGGAGGCGGCTGCTCAGGGCCGTGGGCTGTGCCAGGGCCCTGGGTCCAGGATGACACAGGCCCCGCCCCGGGAACTTCCCGGCCTTGGGGAGGGGGGCTGGGAGCGGGAGATTCCCCCCCACATCCCGCACAGGCTTCTGTGCCCTCACCCCACCTTCTGGGGTTGAGCAAGGGCGCCGGCCCCACCCAGCAGCCAGCAGGCCCTGCAGGCGAGAAAAGCTCACCTTTGCCCAGGTAAGGGGGCAGGAGCACACAGGGGTCCCGCCACGCTGGGGGGCTCCTGCAGGTGACCTCGCTGGGTCAGGGGTGCTCCGGGGTCGGGGGGGGCTCCGGGGCAGGCAAGGGGCAGGCGGGGCGGTGGGGTGCAGAAGGGCTCAGACTCACCAGGGTCAGGGCCGCCCAGCGCTCAGGTCCTGCTGGCCGCGGGCGGGGGAGGGTCCCTGGTGCAGGAGGAGCCCCTCGCCCCTCCCCGGGACCCCCCATGCCGTGCCCCCCGCCCCGGACTCCCGCCACGTGCAGCAGCCACTTCACAGCTCGGGAGGAAGTGACGGCAAAAGGAAACGGAAGCACCAAACCCCTCCGGGGTCAGACCGGGGCCCCCACCGGGCGGGGCTGAGCCAGGGCTTCCCCACGGGGGATGAGGCCCCAGAGTCAGGGGGCGCGAGGGACAGAGCCCGACAGGTGGGGAGGGAGGTGGCCCCCCTTCAGGGGCCCCACGCCGGCCCCGGCCCGGCCCCCCCACAGCCCCGAGGCCTACAGGGAGCCCCCGTGCTCCTGACCCCCAGGGTCTCACGGCAACGGGGATCCCCAGGGTAGGGGTGCGCCCAGGGAGGCTGAGCTGAGCGGGGGGCAGCTGGAGGGCAACGGGCTGGAAGGGGGAGCGGGGGGCCGGGGGCACAGGGGGCGCTTCCTGCTGAGAGGAGATCTGAGGCCCAGGCTGAGGGGCTGGCCCAGCCCGGCCTCCACTGCGGCTCTCCTGCCTGTGAGGCTGTAACAGGGGGGTCCCCAGGAAAGGGGGAGGTTCCAGGTTCCCTGCCCCACCCAAGAGGGTGGAGCTGAGCAGGGAGAGGAGAAGCTGCAGAGGAGACTGAGGAAGGAAGGAGCAGGATGGAGCCAGGAGACCTGGAGGAGGCGCGTGGAGCCGAGAGACACGTGAAGAAACTGCGCTTGTCTTGTGGTCGTGGACGGGGTGACACAGATGTGGGGGAGACCCGTGGGGAGGTGACAATGGCAGCTTTTATCTGGATGTTGATTTTGCTCTTTTCCTTCCGGGCTTGTCCGGTTGTTTCTGACCCTTTTCTGTGGGTCCCCACTGGAAGATGCTTTAGACTGTGCCAGGCTTTGGGGCCTTGCTCTGGGCCGACCCCATATGGATGGAGTTTTACCCACGAGGGGACGGGTCACTTTGGGTGCTTCATTTAGAAACTAGACTCTTGGCCTTCCCTGTGTTGTTTCCTAGTTGTATTAAAGTTCCTTCCCCTCAAAGTGTCCTATGTTGTGTGTGGATGCGGCGGATGGCAGAGCCCATGTAGACCAGGCAGGTTTGCGGGGTTTGGGCGTAGCCGGTCCCCCCCGCCATGTCCGGTCCTCTCCGCTGCGGCCGGCGTCCCCGGCGTGGCGAGCAGGTGGATCCTCCGATGCTGGACCCGCTCTGAGCCGCTGCCCCGGGGCGTTGCGGGCAAGGACGGGACTCCCCTGCGCAGGAGCTGCGGATCCTGCGGTTTCGCTCTGCCAGGGTCTGTCCCGGGAACCCGGCTGCAGGCGCGGCGCCGACGGAGCCCCCTGGCCGGGACGTCACGTCGGGCTTCGCTCTTGCAGCCGCTGCCCGGGACAGCCCTGGGCGGAGGCGGCCTCGGGGCCAGTGGGGTCCACGCTCGGGCCGCAGCTGGACGCGGAGCGGGTCTCTCCCGTCTGGGGCGCAGATGCAGGTACGTGATGTCTCTCAAGTGCCGGGAACTGGGGTTTGGAAAATTGAAGGTTTTGGGGGGACATGGCCTCCGGCTCCGAGGCAAGGCCGAGGCCGCGGCGGGCGCGTGTGCTGCTGGCGCCGGGGCCCGCGGGGACGGAGCGCGGCGGCGGCTGCTGTTTCCCGCGTTCGTGGCGCGGCTTCCCGGACAGCCGAGCTGGAGCCAACCTGGGGCCCGTCCTCGGTGGTCGGAGGGGATCTGGGGGCCTCGCGGAGCCCCCGCCACTCGCAGAGCCGCGCCCAGCCCGCGGGGACGAGAGGACCCCGAGCTGTCTGTGCGGGGGGAGCCCGGGAGGGGCGCGCGGGAGAGAGGGACGCGGGGCGCGGGCGGGGGACACGCGGGTTTCCTGGACTTTCATGAAACCTTTCCGGGCCTGACGTGGCTGCAGGCCCCGCTCTGAACCGGGTTGTCTGCCTGCGGGTCACCCCGCGCCGAGAGGGCCTCCCCGCAGCCCCAGCACAGGCCGCAGAGGCTGGTTCACAAGGGAGGGAAATGAGGAAACGCAGGACTCAGGAGAGAAGAGGGAGATACGGTCCTAAATGCGTCCTACCCGCCCCACGACCTGGACCCCAAATGACCCGCCGGGACCAAACCCGCCCGGCCGAGCGCAGAGCCGAGGGCCCGACCCGCTCCCGGGGCTGCTTTATCCACAGAGGGAGGAGATGGCCGCCGGGCCCGCCCTCAGGGCCTCGCAGCCTCCCCTGGGGTCCTGGGATCTGCGTCCCCAGGGTCTGGATGGAGGGGGTGGGGCCCACAAGGCCTGCGTGGGGTTCGCGCAGGACATCCTCTCCCCTGACGACACGATGTGAGGGTCCGCGTGGGCTGCTGCCCTGCGCGCTGTGCACGGGGTGGTGTGACGTCCGCAGAGCTGCTTCTAGAATCGTTGCTACAAAACACCCCAGACGACTCCAGTGGGTGGAGGTTTCACAGGACAGTTTCCCGCAGAGGACGGAACAGGGTCTCCCTGCGGCGCGGGCGGTGGAGCAGCGCGTGGAGCTGTCCAGGCCTCTGCCGGCCAGGGAGCTGCCCTCAGGGCGCAGCAGACCCCCCTGTCCCCCCGCTGCTCCCCTCAGGAGCGGATTCCGCCAGTCGCCTGTTCCGCTCCCCGCCCGTCTCTGGGGAGTCCTCTCACCCCCGCACCTCTGGCCCGCGCCCCAGTTCACGTATGCGTAATTAAATACATCTTTAAAAAACAACAAAGCAAGAAACAGAGTTGGAAATAAACCTGATTTTTAATAAGCTTTGTTTACAGCAACACTGGTTCTTTTTGCATTTTGCTTTGACCCCATCCACGTTTCCTTGTCTTCCCTGACCAGGATCTGCGGCAATGACGATGTTTCCAAGCAGAGCTGACCTCCTCTCCCCTGACACCCCAGAGCTCCTGCCCTCCGTCTGCCTCTGCCCCCCCAGGCGCCCCGTCTCTGCTGCTGACTCGGGGTCTATGGAAATGGTGTCCCCTCCCTCCATGGCCCCTCTGGCCGGGTCCCTGCTCCCCGCAGGCTCCTGAGCTCTGCATGCGGGGGGCGCCCTCCCCACACAGGAGGACCCTTGTTCCAGGGAGGGAGGTGGACTGTTCCCCCTGCACCCTGAGGGCCCCGACCCCTCACCCATCTGACCTGGGGGGCCATGCCCCCGTTTCTGCATGGGGAGGGGCTCAGACAGAGACGGGCCTGCTGGAGCCCCCTGGACTGGGCCCAGGCCACCTGCCTGCTCCATCCCCATGGCCCTGAGCAGGCCTGGGGGCAGAGCTCTGCCCGGCTTAGCCCATCCCCAACCCCCCTCACCCCCCCAAAACCCCCAACCCCCCACCACACCCCCACCCCGCACAGGCCAGACAGGGTGTCCCGGCTGCTCCTCCCAGTGCCCTCCCCACGTCCACAGCCCCAGGCACCGTCCAGTGGGGAGGCCCCTCCTCCCACAGAAACCAGGCCAGGGGCAGCACCTCCCTGGCTGGGCGATGCCGGGGAGCCCCTGTGTCTCCCCCAGGACCTCTGTGCCCTGGGCAGCCCCTTCCCAGCGCGTCGCGGGCGTGGGCAGAGGCCTCCCAGGCCTGAGCCAGCCCCGCAGCAGCACCAGCCGCTGAGCCTCCCCAGGCTGCACCCGTGGGCCAGCGCCCTTTCCGTGCGCCTCCCGGATCCTGACACGGGCAGACCAGGGGCAGCTCTGAGCCGATGGTGCTGCGGGGTCCACTCAGCCCGGGGTGGCAGGACCGTCCAGTCAGGCTCGCGGGCGGGCAGCCTGAGGGGGGTAAGGCAGGGCGGGCTTGGGGTGGAGCGGCTGGGTCACCAGTCGGCACAGCGGCCCTGCGTCCACGGCAGCGGGACTCCCGCATGTGAGTGGGGTCCCCTCTCACCCTGGCACAGGACCCCAACCCTGGGAGCCCAGAGCTGCCTGACGGGGGCCAAGTGGATGCCCCAGGGGCAGACCCCGCTCCAGGCCCCCAGCTCCGGTGCAGCAGGGCCCCTGAACTAGGACCCCCCCAATTATTAAACCAGCCCCCCTGTGGGCGGTCCGTGCAGTTTTCCTCTGCCCCACCGGGCTGCGGGGCTGGACCCTGGGCACCTCCTGCCCCTCCAGGCGCCCTGATCTCAGGGCAGGCCCCTCGGCTTCCCACCTCAGCGCCCGCCAGGGGCTCCTGGGCACAACGCTGCCCAGTCCGGCAGGCGTCCCTGCGTGCGAGGCCGGGCGGGCCCCTGTGCAGACATGGGGGAGCCGCTGCGCAGTCCCGCCTCTTTGGGCAGGCGTCAGAGGAGGACGCGGCCCTCCCAGGGTGATTGGGGCTCCCGGGGGGGGCCTCACAAGGGCAACAGGTCCCCAGAGAGCCCCAAGTCAGGAGGGCCAGGCCGTGGCGGGAGGCGCCGGGGACGCAGCGGGGATGCGAGATGGGGGCACAGACCAGGGCCAGGGGCCCCACGTCGGCAGGTCGGGCCCAAGGACCGGGCTCCAGGTGGGGCCTCCGGGAGTGGATGTCTCCCCTGCTGGCCCAGCCCAGCCTCCCCGGCCAGCCAGGACCTCCAGCAGGGACCCCCCAGGACCCCACGAGGGCCGTGTCCCGTGCTGCCGTGTCTGTCCCAGGCGCCCCCAGACCCAGAAGCTCTCCCCCCGGGCCGGGCTGCGGCTCAGGCACAGAGGCCGCCCCACAGCCTGGCAGGCGGGGCAGGGCCGGGGTGGCACCTGGGCACGAAGCTCCGTCCCCCGCCCGTCTCCCCGGCGCCCTCTCCTCCCCCGCCCTGAGCTCCCGCCGCGGGGCAGCGCCGCCCGGGTCGGTCCGCACGGAGGGTGGCAGAGGCATCAGCACGCTCCGCCCGCCAGGGCTGTTCAGACCCAGTTTATTCAGGCCCGGCCAGGGTGGGGGTGCCGGGAGGGGGCAGACCCGCAGCCTCCTCTCCCCGCTCCCGCCCGGAGGCCACCGGGACCCCCCAAGCTCCCCCCGCCCCGACCCTGCAGAGTCAAGAACATGCGTGTTCCCCACAGGAGACCGGGGAGCAGGAAGAGCTGCCCACGGAGAGGGAGGTTGTTGGCGGGGGGATGCTGGGGTCAGCGGGTCCTGGGCCCAGCTGGGCCCCTGGGCGGGTGGAGGTCACAACAAGGTCGGTGCCGCCTCCAGGGGTAGCCAGGACGTCACATGCTGCCCCGGGGGAATGTCAGTCACGGGGAGTAGCCGGCACGCGCTGGCCAGGTGGGCTGTGACCCCACATTGCATGGGGGTCCTGGCGCCCTGACACCCCGTCCCACTCGCCAGCACAGCCAGGGCCGGGGCAGAGGGTGCAGCGGGCACTCGTCCTGGGCACTCCCGGGGCTGCGGGGAGGGCTCGGCCTCCAGAGACGGAAGGGGGGGGGTCCCCAGGCCATGCGTGTCCTGCGGCCTCCAGCAGGCGCCCCCAGCGGTCAGTCCTCTGTGTCCCGGGCCCCGTGGCCAGCGGGGGGGCCACCCCCGGGACTCAGGGCACCGTCTCCTCCTCAGCCTCCGTGGCGACGGCCGGACAGGCCTGCAGGGCGTGGGCAGCCTCGGGGTCCCCTGCCGCACCCCGTGTCCTCATCTGCGGGTTCAGAGCACATGGTCGCCCTGAGGCCCGGCTCCTGGCCCCGGGTTGCTGTCGTGGGGGACCCCCGGTATCAGGGGAGGCTGTGCCCCCCCACCCCCGGGGGCAGGACTGAGACGGGGTCTCGGGACCAGGGAGCCCCACCCACCACGTCCCCGGGGGAGCAGCCGTACCTGGTGGGGTCTCCCTTTGTGGGTTCCCCTGCGGAACAGACACACGTCAGGAGGGTCAGCGAGTCAGGGGCCCCGCCCGCCCCGGCGCCCCAGGGGCCCTTCTCCCAGGGACCCGCGGACACAGCGAGGCCGAGGCTCGGGCCCTTGCTGGCCTGTCCCCAGGGCCCACTCAGGGACAGGCCAGGCTGGCCCAATCGGACAGTGTCCAGGAGCCCCCTAAGAGGTGCTGGGTGTCTCCCCATATTGGGGGGCAGATCTGGAGGGTCTCTGATGAGTCAGCGGGCCCTGAGCCCCAGAGGACCTCCCTGCTGCTCACCTGGTCGTCCATTTCTTCCCCTGAGAGCCCATCGTGCCCCGAGGACCCCGAGCGCCCCCAGGACAGGGACGAGCAGAAGCAGAAGCAGGAGCACAAGCAGAATAAGGGGCCAGGAGGAGCAGGTGACGTCGCTGCTGCTGGTCCCCGGATTTGCTTCTGCCTGAAGCCGGCTGCACCTGGGGGGAGGCGGGGCCTGGAGCCGCAGGGGACACACCGGGACCCTGGACCCCACCGGGCCCTGGGGCAGGAGCAGGACGGGGCGGGGGGAACATTGGGGGGACCGGGGTCTGTCTGCCTCCCACAGCCCGCTCCAGGGAGGGCCCGGATGGACAGGGAGACGGACAGGACAGGGAGACACAGAGGACAGGCCGTAGGGCGTCTCTCTTTGGGGAGGGCCCTTATCTCTCAGGGACTCCCCCGGACACCGGGCTGAGGCCGGGTCTCCCACCTGGTCCAGGGCCGGCACTGCTCCAGGGTCCAGTCGGGAGAGAAGGTTCCGGGGGGACAGTCCTCACACAGCGTGTCCTGCCGCTCGGTGCCTGCGGGGCGGGGGCAGGCGGGGCTGGGTGGGGGGGCTGGGCGCCCCCAGGGTGCTTGGGTGTCCCTTCCCGGGTAGGGCCCCGGCTGTGTCAGGAGTGGCCCTGGGGGTGCTCACCTCTCTGCCTCACGCTCTGGCCGGGCCTGCAGGCCACATGGGGCTGGCACTGCTCCAGGGTCCCGTCGGGAGAGAAGGTTCCGGGGGGACAGTCCTCACACAGCGTGTCCTGCTGCTCGGTGCCTGCGGGGCAGGGGCAGGCGGGGCTGGGCGGGTGGCTGGCGACCTCCAGGGCACCCAGGAGGGGCCCGGCTGTGTCAGGAGTGGCCCTGGGGTGCTCACCTCTCTGCCTCACGCTCTGGCCGGGCCTGCAGGCCGTGTGGGGCTGGCACTGCGTGCAGCTGTCCCCGTGCTCCAGGACGCAGACGTGGCCGGGGGCGCAGCCACACACAGCGTCCCCCGTGGTGGAGCACTCGCGCCGGGTCTCCAGGCCCAGGGCTGCCAGGAGAGAGAGCTCAGCCGCGGCTGCCGTGGGGGGGCGGGTGCCCGTTCCAGGGCCCAGGCCGGGCTCCCGCAGGGTGGGGACGCTGGGCACGGAGCCCACCCGCCCGCACCGGCCTGTCCGCACTCAGCTCTGCCCGGGACCTGGGGAGACCTGTGCCGAGAAGCACCCAGGGCCGGGGAGCCACACGGCTGGGGTCTGGGGTGACTTGGATGGGGGACATTAGCCACAGGGTGAAGGGGGTTTTGGGGGCAGGGAGGGTCTCCCCTGGGGATGTGGCGGGGGGAGGGGAGGGCTGACCTGCTCCCAGTGGACAGACAAGCGCGGCTCCCATCAGCCCTGGGGGTGGCAGGTAGACGCCGATCCGGTGGCCCCAGGCTTGTCCCTCCCATACCTCTGAACCCCAAAGCCCTCTCTTCCCATTTCACCTCCTGGGGACCCTCTCCCCGCACCACCTGTCAGGGCAGGATGGGAGGGGCCTCGGGGGTGTGGGTGGGTCCTGACAGCCAAGCTCCTGGGTGTCCCGGGGCCCTTGCGGGGGGAGCAGAGGGACCCTCTGGGTGTCCCGGGGGACAGACCAGGGTGGACAGAGGCCTCAGCTCCCGGAGGACCCCCGGGGGGGCACTGGAGCGCAAGGAGCAGGGGGCGGCAGGGGTGGCTGTGAGGAGGGGCTCACCTGGGCTGCAGTCCCTGCAGGGCAGACACTCCTTCAGCCCGTTAAGGTGGGCGGTGTAGGTCCCGGGGGCGCAGCGGACACACACTGTGCCCGTGTACTCCCCGCAGGCCTGCTTCACCCGGTAACCTGCAGCCAGAGGGTCCCCAGATCAGGAGCCTGACCCGAGGGGCACCTGAATCACAGCAGGGTGGCCCCACCCCAGGGACTGAGGGCACCGAGCTGCTCCCCAGCCCCTGACATTTGGGGCCCCAGCAGGAGCCTGTCAGGAGAGTCAGAAGCTTCTGGAGGGACGTGGGCCTGGACACGAGGCCTGTGCAGAGCCCCCTGACCCTGGGTCCCTCCTCCGGGGTGTCCTGCCCCAGGTGCCCCCTGCGGGGAGCGGGAGGGTCCGGGGAGGAGGACCCTGCAGGGGGGTCTCATGAAGGGGGTCTCCAGTCAGTGGGGTGCCGGCCCTCAGCCCCAGCACTGACCCCCTCCCTCCCAGGGCAGAGCGGGCCCGGGCCGGGTGGCTGCACCCACCTGGGCTGCACTTGGGGCAGCACTCGGCCCCCACCAGGTACTCCTCCTCTGTGCAGGGGCCCACGGCTGGGGCGCAGGGCGGGGACCCCAGGAGGATGAGCATCAGCACCTGGGGAGCGGGACAGGGCGGGGCAGGGGCTGGGGTCGTCTCGGTCCCGCCGTCTGTGAAATGGGCAGCAGCTCCCGGGGATGGCCGGGTGACCCCTGATCGGGGTGAGGGGGGCCCTGTCTCCTGTGCCCCGCAGGGTCCGTGCCCACTGGGTGTCTGTCCTCACCGAGTCCTGACCCGGAGCCCTGAGCCCCTCCGGGCAGGAGCTGCCCCTCCCCTGGGCAGTGCTGTCAGGCCTGGAGCCCGCAGGGCCAGAGCAGGAGGGGCCAGACCAGGGAGGCGGCTGCTCAGGGCTGGGGGCTGTGCCTGGGGGTCTGGAATGACACAGGCCCCGTCCAGGGAACTTCCTGGGCTTGGGAGGGGGACCTTCAGGGCGGGAGCCTACCCCCATACCTCCACCCCCACCCCACCGCACCCCACCGCACCCCACCCCCGCACAGGCCTCTGTTTATCACCCCCACCTTCTGGGGCGAGTGAGGGCCCCACCCAGCAGCCAGAGGGCCCTGTGGGCGAGAAAAGCTCACCTTTGCCCAGGTAAGGGGGGGCAGGAGCACACAGGGGTCCCGCTGCTTGGGGGGCTCCTGCGGGTGGCCTTGCCGGGTCGGGGCTCAGGGGTGGGGGTGGCTCCGGGCAGCTGGGCCGGGAGGGCAGGCGGGGCGGGGGAGGGGCGCAGCGGGCTCAGACTCACCAGGATCCGGGCCGCCCGGTCCCGACGTCTCCCGGGGAGGGTCCTCGGCGTCAGAGGAGCCCCCGGCGGCTGCTCGGGACCCCTCATGCCATGACGCCCCCCGACTCCCGCCGCCCGCAGGAGCCGCCTCAGCAGCGACTCACCGCCATTCGGAGAAATCGAAAGGAAAAGGGAAACCAGTTGCTCTGCTCTCAGGAAGTCCCAGGGCACGCGGCCGGCCGGGGGGGGCAGCAGCAGCCGCTGGGCAGGGGACCCGGGAGCGGGGGACGAGGGACGGGGTGGGGGCTGCGGGGGGTGCGGAGGGTGAGGAAGCAGGTGGGACCCACGGGTTTTATCAGGTCCCTCCCTCTGCCAGCCCCGCGGGCTGCCTCACTTCTCCCCCCCACCCCGTCCTCTCACCGCACCCTCACAGCCCCCGCCCCAGGCGCCCCGTCTCTGCTGCTGACTCGGGGTCTGTGGAAATGATGTCCCCTCCCTCCATGGGCCCCTCTGGCGGGGTCCCTGCTCCCCGCAGGCTCCTGAGCTCTGCATGCAGGGGGAGCCACCCCACAAGGGAGGGGCCCTGTTCCCGGGGAGGGAGGTGGACTGTTCCCCCTGCACCCTGAGGGCCCCGACCCCTCACACAGCTGACCTGGGGGGCCATGCCCCCATTTCCGCATGGGGAGGGGCTCAGACAGAGACGGGCCTGCTGGACCCCCCTGGGCTGGCCCAGGCCACCCGCCTGCTCTGTCCTCACAGCCCTGAGTGGGCCTGGGGACAGTCTCTGCCCCCTACAGCCCCCCGCACAGGCCAGACCAGGGCCCTGGTTCCCGCGGTGGCCCAGGCAGGGCATCCTGAGCTGCTCCTCCCGGTGCCCTCCCCACGTCCGCAGCCCCGGGGACCATCCCAGCGGGGAGGCGCCTCCTCCCACAGAAACCAGGCCGGGGCAGTGCCCCCACCCTGGTCCGCCTCCCTGGCTGGGCGATGCCGGGGAGCCCCCTTGTCTCCCCCAGGACCTCTGTGCCCTGGGAGCCCCCCAGCCCCACCCTGGCTGTTGGGCAGAGCTGGGTCCGCTCCAGCACCCCCCACCCAGGAGCCTGGCCCCTACAGCTGCTGCTCTGGCCCCTGCTCACCCACTGGGACCCCCGAAGCCTGGCCCTGCCCCTGCCTGGCCCTGCCCCTCTGCCTGGCCAGGACCCACTGGACCCCAGGGGCCAGCGCTTCCCAGGCCAGGGCGCCGCTGAGAGCTGGGCAGGCGGCAGCCACGCCAGCAGGAGGGAGGCAGACAGGGTGGCGCGGGCACCGCTCAGGCTGGCTCGCCTGCTCGCGGTGGTTTGGAGGCAGGTGCAGCACCCCCCACTCCGGCCCAGGAGCGGCCACGGGGCGGCAGGGCACCCGGGGCACAGATGGCCGCCGCAAGGCAGCACCGGGCCCCCGGCTGCCAGAGGACTGCAGGGAGCACGGTGAGAGCGGGCGCGGGGAAGGGGAGGCAGAGACGGGTGGGCCGGCTCCTGCCGCGGGGCAGAGGCTGGAGAGGGGAGGCGGGGCGCACAGTGGGTCCCGCGGGGACGGTGGGCAGCAGGCCCCCCCCAGCGGCTCAAGCCACCGCTCTCCGCGGCCCGGGGAGCTTGCGGCCCTCAGACGACCTCGCCGGGCCGGGAAGACGGGCCAGGGCGGCAAGCGGGTCCTCCCGGCGGCAGGGACGGTTCAGACGCCGCCTCGAGCAGATGCAGAGCGCGTGGCGCTGGCTGACCCGCCGACCCCGCAGGACCCAGAGCCGAAGCTGCCGGTGCGGAAGCTGGAGCTGGGGCGCGGGCGCGGAGCCAGAGGGCAGAGCTGGGGCGCAGAGCCGTCCCCGCTTTGCCCTCGAGGCACATCGGGGGTGCGAGGGGCCCCACAGACCCCGCAGGGCGGGAGCCCAGGCCTGGAGGGGCAGGTCCGCTCGCGGGCAAGCAGGGCGGCCTTCAGGGCGGGAGCCGGGAGGCCCCGGGGCGGCCGAGCGCTAGTCTGGCTGGGGCCGCGGGGCGGCTTCCCGCGGGTGTGAACTGCCCGGACAGACGAGGTCCCGCCCAGGGGGCCGCGGCCAGGGGCAGCGCGGACGCTGCGGGGGCCACCACGAAGGAGGACGGGGGCGCGGCGGCCCCGACGCGGGCGCTGCAGGCAGCCGGGTGGGGCAGGAACCCGGAGGAGCAGCCGGGGGGACCGCGGGGCGCGGGGGGCTCCTGTCTGCTGCCCGCAACGCCGCCCTGGAATGCGGGATCACAAACGAGGGGGGCCTGCCCCGGGCCCCTCCAGGGCTCCCGCCCCCACGGTCCCGGCTGCACCCTGACGGCAGGAACCGCGCCGCTCAGAGGGACGGCGGGGCCGGGCGGGGGCTGGGCCGGCCACCGGGGAGGAGGCCCGCAGGACGGCGCCAACGAGACACGTCGGGGCCCAAGAGCACCGCAGATGGCGGCCTCGGGCAGCCCGGGGGCCCGCCGTCCAGTCCCGCCCGGCCCTGCTGCACCCGGGGCTCTGGCAAAGGCCCCCGCGGGCAGGCCAGGGAGGAGGGCGGCGGCCAGGTCAGCAGACGCGCCCGGCCAAGGCTCTGTGGGCGCCCCGACGGGCAAGCCGGGCGACGGCCCCCGTGTCCAGCCCCTTGGCCGCGGCTCCTGCAGCCCCTCCTGCCGGGGACAGGGTGGGGGGACCCGGCGCCGCCCCGCAAGGACAGACGTGCGCACCGAGTGAAGCGGGGCTGCGGGGCCGCCCCAGGGCGCAGGGGCCCAGCCGGAGCTCAGCCGGGGGCCCCTGCCCTGTCTGGGAGTCGCTGCCGCTGGCCCCCGCGGTCCCGGGGGGTTCCCACTGGGGACTTCCCGCCTGTCTCAGCATCTCCCCAGCCCTTTCCTGGAACCCTCCCCACCTCCGTGGGGGCGGTGCTGGGGGGCCCTGGGGGGGCACTGGGGCGGGGAGCTGAGGGCAGGTGCTGGGGGGTGCTGGGGTGGGCCTCTGGGGCGGGGCTGGGGGGTGCTGGGGCTCCGGCAGACGCCAGGGGGCAGCGGAGCCTCGCACAAGTCTCCGGCCGCTCCTGGAAGACCACCCCCCAGGGAGCCGCGGGCACCCCCAAGCCGGCCCAGCACAGCGACTGCTCAGCCCGGCTGCCCGGTGGGAGGCAGGAGCCTGCGGGGGGCAAGCGGCAATGAGGCGGGGGCCAGGAGGGAGGAGCGGGGGACCCCCATTGTCTGCCCTGTCCAGTCACGCAGCGTGGCCACGACAGGGCAGGGGCCTCTGCGGCCCAGTCCAGGCCCCGCCACTGCGGGGCACCAGTCAGCGACACCCCGCCTGTCCTTGCAGGGTCCCGAGGCCACCAGGGCCTCTCGGCGGCCATGGGGGACTACCTCCCCCCATCACCCCCCAACCCCTCCTCTGGCTGCTGAGGAGGTGCTGGGGTACACCCTGGGCTCAGCGCGCACCTGGCGGGCAGGTGACTCCAGTGAGGGCGACTCAGGGTCCCCCGGAGGGAGGGTGCCCTGGCTCGGAGCATCCTGGGGGCCCTCCCGGGGTGAAGGGCCGGGCAGAGCCCGAACACTCCAGAGAGGAGGCCAGCAGGGCTGCGGTCCCACCTGATGCCCTCCAGCAGCCCCCCAGGAGGCCTGCGGACCCGCCTGCACCCTGAGCGCTGAACAGGGGTGCGGTCAGCCTTGGGGGAGGGGCATGCCCACGGCCAGGCCAGTGCTGCCCCCGCCGCCCCTCCCATGCCACCCCTGCCCCGGCACAGCCCTCCCAACACCTGCCTCAACGCCAAGCCCCCGTCCTCACCCGCCTGGGGGCACAGAGGGGAGGAGGGATGAGCCCGGGGGCCCTCGGGTGACCCTCCAGCCTGCTCTGGGGCTGAACTCTGCCCCTTGGCTGTGGGGGAGGCGCCCCGCCGCGGGCTGTGGGGGGGGGCGGGCACTAGCTGGAAGTAGGAGACACCCCCAGCGAGGCGGCCCCCCCCGCCTTCCCCCCCTCCACGTGGCCTCCAGGCCTCGCACCCACGGCACCCCGGCCTTGCGTGCTGACCCTGGGAGGCCAGCACCCCACTCTTGGGAGTCCGCTTCAGCTGCGGCCTCTCCGCGTGGGTGGGGCACCCTGGGGCCCGGCACCGTCGCCCGAGCCCTGGCCCCTGCACCACCACCGGCGGCTCCACCAGTGAGCAGCCCACCCCAGCCCCGGCAGGGAACGTGGGGGGCGTGGGGGAGCAGAGGCGAAGGGTGCCCGCAAACCCCGGCCGGCGCGGGGCCTCACTCAGGGTACAGGGCGGCGGGCGCTGTGGCCTTGCTGGGCCGAGGCTGGTGGGGCCTTTATGGGGCGCCGCGGGAGGGGCCGGGCGTTCCCACGCTCCCAGCCAATCGCGGGCGGCAGTGGGGGATCAGGCCGGCCTGCCCTCGGGCACACGTGGGGCAGCCCCCCCCCAGTCACCAGCAAAGCCCCCAGGGCACCCTGCGGTCCAGGCCCCGCCCGAGGCAGAGGCCAAGGACTGGGAAGGGGGGATCCACCGGCTCAGCACCCCAAGGGGATCCGCCCTCACCCCACCTTGCTGCTCTCTAGACGTTGGAGGGGCCCTGCTGGCCGCCCCCGCTCACCGCCTGCCCTCCAGAGCCGGGCACCGGCCTCCCCCACCCCGCCAAGTTCGCAGGCCCGCGTGCGGCTCGGGCAGCCGGGCAGATGCAGAGCAGGGAGGGGAGAGGCCCGGGGACAAGCGTGGGGGCCGCGCCCCTCGACTGGGCACCGCCGCGGCCCCTGGACGCCCCCCTCCTCCCAGCCCCCGCACCCCCCCAGCCCGGGCTGGACCCTGATTCTGCTGGAGGTGCCTGGGCGGTGGGTTCCAGGCAGGGCCCGCAGCCCCCCAGCTTCTCGGGGCCTGGCGTTTTCCAACCGCTGACCTCCGGGAGGGCCGGGCGCTGGGCGGGGAGCAAGGGCGCCTCACAGCCCGGCCTGGGAGCGGGAGGGCGCCCCGGGGCGGGGGAGGGGCCGGGACCAGTGAGAGCAGCCCCTGGCGCGGGGAGGGGCCGGCCCCATGCCCATCCCGGCCCCCCACCTCCGCCCTCCCGCTCGACAGCAGGGCCACCCCGAGCACGCGGCCCGCTTGGGGTGGCCAGGTAGCCCTGCCGGCCCCTGCCCACCCCGCCCGCCTCGGGCGCTGAATGGCGGGAGCCTTTTGTGGGCGAGCAGCTGGCGCGGCTTTATGCGGGGCTGTGGGAACGGCCCAGG